GTAGTTAATTGTTTGCGTGGAAGAGAGTCAAGTTTGGCATGAATTAATTCATGGTACAAACTGAATTTCCCTTATGATCTGTTTAAGTTAATGAATTGGGTTTTTGTAATGTTTATGAAGATGTCTTTGAGTAAGTAAACCTTTCGGATTTTAGCTTTTCATGCGTCCATTGTGTTTCTTCTCTATCTACCAGATTATTTCCTTGATATGTTACTCGATTATTGGAATAACAATGGTATAAATTATATTCAACTGTTAAAATTATGTTGAAGTTGCGGATCAAACGACGGTTATGTGTTTGAGGGATTGTTTGAAGTAATTCATCTAAAGTTTATGTTAAAATTCTAAACAAAATTATATTTCTGAAAATAGAAATTGTGATTATGATGTTTTTATCTTCTTTTGTTCAATGTATTTGACTACTTGTGTAATTGCCAAGGATTGGAATTTCATTTCCTCATAAAGAAATAGAACTAATGACACTAGAAATGTATGCTCGGCCTTTTATTTGGTTATCTCCTCCAAGTTGTTAATGTTTCATTCATTTCCTATACTTTCTATTTCTTTTTCTTTTTTCTTGGATTTGAATTTGTCAGCTATCCGTCAGCTTCTTGCTATATTATATTTTATGACATGAAGTGTGCCTATGGGATATGTAATTATTTATTTATCTATCTTTCTAAATAGGAATAGATGCTCTTTCGCTAGTGGAACATTGTATCAAAGACAAATGAAGTGCAACTTAATTATCACAAAGTAATTTCGTTTGAGATAACTAAAACACCTTTAGCTATTGACATATCTATTGTAACCAAGTAAGCTTACAAGTGGTTGGTGCTATTGCTAGATAAATTGCTTCGTCAACACTAGAATACTAGATCAATCACTATCATGTTGTTATTTTTCTCTTCCAATACACAAGATTACTTCCAGTCTAATTATAAGTACTAAATTAGACCTCTTACTTATAATTAGTTTAGGGCCATTTAGATTGCGTATATTCATTATTTGTGTTATGTAACTTCATGAATTATTGAGAATAGAATATATACATCGACAACATTACTCTAATTTTTTTCTACAAACTTTTCACTAGTTTATCCTCAAATCATCCCGTTCCTATTCTTTTATTCCAATAAGATGACTTGCCAATATGTTTCTATCTATTGATTTCTTTCACACGTGATGTACAATGTATGCATTTTTTCTTGAAGTCTTCTTGAGGTGTGACATTGCCTCATCTTGGTCTTTTCACCTAACATAAGTATTCAATTTTAAATTTTAACATGATATTTAAAATTTTCACATCCTTTGCTACCTCTCGAAAAAAATCTTAATCTCAAACATAGTTCACAATTCTCAGAATTGTTATGTTTTCTTAATTGAATATTGAAGTCGTGAAATATTAAAGCCAGATGACATGACTTCCCATTGGAAATGTTTAATTGTTACACATAGTATTATCCTATTTGACATTTCTTCACTTTCTATTTCTAATTGGCCAATCTACTGATTTAAAACCAAATTTTGATTATCTTATAAAAAATATTTAAGATTGATTCGCATGAGTATTGTGCACTTTTCTCTTCTATTTATTTTAAGTATGTATTCTATACAGCTACTCAAGATGCCGACATGAAAGAAATTGACATGCTCCTTGAACAATGGCAAGAAAATTAAGTTATTAAGGAAATTGTAGGACTTAAATTCTCAAAATTCACCCTTTATGTGACGTGTGAACCAAGTAGCTTTATAAATCATTCGTATGGTATAGAAATTTATGCTAATATTTTTTCAAAATTTTAGTTTATATATTAACTTATTTTGTTTATTGATTATCTCTTATGAATAAAAGTATATTATGGTTGTGCAAATGATAAGTTTGGAGGTTATTGATCAATATTATCATTGGACATAAATAGCTCTAAGAAGCTTGGAAGGTTTGATTGAGTTGATGTCTTTTCTTATTTTTCTTTATGAGTAACAAGGAAGAGGAAATAAAAAATGAAAAAAAAAAAAAGAAGACTTTTTTTCCTTGAGATGTTGATGTGCAGACTCTGTGGCTCATTAAGTATTTTGATGTGTATGAACTTTAAACATAATTTATGAGGATACAAACTAATCATAATTCATAAATTTGTTTTATATATTCTCAATAAATGAAAAAAAATGGCACTCAAGCTTGCTATGGACTTTTACACCATGATATATAAATATATATTTACTTTCTTCTAAGTAATATTAGTTCAACTTTTCCTATACTTACAATCAAAGAGAACCACACGGGTGATAAAGATGTTGAGTTTGTGCTGTGTTTTCATATTTTTACATTCTCTATTGTTTCATACTTCATTTTTCTATATTGCATTATCGAAATATACATGGCGTATATTAGGAAACGTTTGCCTAAATTGTCTTACTAAAAAATCAGAAAGACCAAAGCCAGTTTCTACTTGTTATAACTAAACCAAATGTTACTGCCATTGAGGGTGAAAATTAACTCATCGTTGGCTGATCAGTCGAAAATCTTGATGCCATATGTGAGAGGAATTCGTTTACTTAAACCAGGCCGGTTAATAGTGGTTGATCTTACTTCAACCTTTGATTGGTTGGTGATTTAACCTAAAATAAACTAAATATTGTAAAGCATGCTACCTACATATTTTATATTCAAGAAAAAAAAAATTGTAACTAATTACCAATGGTCTTTAATTAAAATTTATCCAAACAAAATATGTAATAGTGTAAAATTTATTTTTTACCCAATAATTTTATTTTATTTTTATTATATCTCTCCATCCCGGTAGGGGCAGAGAACCCGTCATTGTATCAGTGTTTAGTACATCCATGGAAAGAGAAAGCAATCCGCAAGAAGGTTCGTTCATCTAACACCAATCTTTCTGGAAAAGTAACTTCTGCCTATCAATCATAAATCCATAAAGCATAATTTTTTTTTTTTTTTTTTGTTATTGCAAATATAAAATGCCACCCTTATTGACATAATCTTTACCTCATAAATGTTTATTTTTCACGTGTTTTTTCATTTGTTTGATTATAATAATATGCTTTAATCATCTAATCATATCTTTTTCTTTGAAATTAACAAATTTAATTATTAGACATAATTTGATGTGCATATAAACATTTCGATATTCACTAGATACTAACTTTTATTCCAGTAGTGGTAATGTTGCTCTGTATTTTAGTCATCCTCACTAGAAGCTTCATGATATGCTTTACAATACAATATTTGTTATAAATTGCTCTCTTTCATATAGGTTGCAAATTGAATTCTCTTTTACATTTACAGCAGTGGAGCTTTACAAAGGAAGAAATTCAAGTGCACTGGCAAATTAATTGAATCCAAAGTAGTCAATCTTCTATGAGCAAGACAACCCCAACGGTGAGCAAAATCTTGGTCAAAAAATTAATATGTGGTTGAGGCTACGATGGAAAAAGACCTACTAGAGTTTTGTGTTTTATAATCTCTTAAACTTTCTAATAAATATGAATCCAAATTTTCTACCGTTGAGATTTGATTTCAAATATTCAAAATCGGCATGTGCCTCTACATGATCTAATGTTGAAATACATAGTAATAATTCTTTTAGATTCTTTTTTATTGCAAAAGATTGGATAGTAACTCGGAAAAAATCTCCATTTTTTCTGCCGTATATGTATCTGTGCATCATATAACATGTTTCCATTTAAATTATTTGTTACATCTTCTAGAGTAGAGAGCAAAGTTAATAGCTGCTAGGGAATAAACTTGGTAAACTTTCTTTGTTTCTTCTCTAGCCAAATGTAAAAATTTGTTCGAACCATTAGATTTAGTTTATTAAGTAAGTTTTCCCTTAGACTAGATTTTTTTATTTATTTTTTTTCTTTTTTATAGCAATTGTAAATGTGCATATTGTCAATATTTTGTAGTTATATTTGGTATGGCATGGCATATGTAAGGTTGGGTGAGTTTAGATATGTTTGAAATATTTTGGATTCAATTTTTATTTCAAAATATGTATTTGTTTGGTAATGTTATGGTATTTTGGGGTCTTTTTTATATATAATATATATTTAAATTGAAATAATTGTTTGATATGAAATAAATAAGTGTTCTATGCATGTGTATTAGTTGCACTAAACAAGTAAATTTTGGGTCTTACATTTTCATTTAGGGCGTGTTTGTTTGGGGGATTGGATTTTGAGTTGAGATATAAATAGTAAAAATTTTGAATTTGAATAGTTGTATGATGTGATATAAATAGGTGTTGATGTGATATTTTGAATGTAAAATTGATTTTTAGTATAATATAAAAAATAAAAAATAGGTATTTGATTCGATATTTTTAGAGAAAAAATAAAAAGAATGAATAGTGAAAATCTAATCCACTATTAATGTTAGAAGTATTATACATACTTTTATATATACGGGAAAGTTATTTGAAAAATGATAAATATCCATTGACGCCTAAATTTAGGCTTCACTTTGTTTTTTTCTTTGTTCTATTTTCTTGTTACCACTTAACATGGGGAAAGAAATAATAAAATTTTTAATTTAAAAAAAAATAAATGTTTTTATTTTGTATTTTTTATTATATTTGTGATGAAAAGAAATAATAGATTGCAATTTTATTTTTTTATAAATACATAAAATATACTTCCTCCGATCCATATATCATGTCCACGTTGCCTTTTTTTTTAGGTCCCCACATACTATGTCATTTTTTTTAAAAAAAATAATTATATATTTTAATCTCATTTTAAACTCTTTAATTTTTTTTAATTTTAATTTATAATTATTTATTATAGATTATATTCACTAATATATTTTTAATTATCTACTAATTATATTATATATTTTGGTAAATATGTGTATATATATTTTAATAATATTAGCTAGGAAATGTATAAAGTCCTGTATAAAGCCCTTTTTCTTCTTTCTTTCTTTTTTTTTTTTTTTTATTTTTTATTTATAACGCCCTTTAAAGAGAGAAGAATTCTTTGAGCATTTCTCATTTGCTGTTTGCTTCTGTACACAAAATTAACAAATAGTTGGCAAAGTGAAAAACTAAGGAGCCCCAAGCCCCCTCCCCCCTCCACAACCTCAACGTTCCAACGCCTGCAATAACGGCTTGCAACTCTTGCAATGGCAGAGTAAAGGTATGAAAAGAATCAGAACTACTCATTTTCTTGGTTTATTTCTTGAATTTCATTTATGGCTTTCTTGAATTCGTCTGACAAATAGTTTCGACCATTGTTCTTCGTGTATTTGATGTTCTTTGTGGTGATTGGAATTTTAGATAAGTTTTGCTGCTCATATCTGTGGATAATTGGGTATATTATCGTTTGGGGATTTTTTATGTGTCAATTGGGCTTTGCTGTCGTCTCCTTTTAAGTGAGAACTTGCCAATTCGCTTGGAAGTATTGGGAATGGATTTGCAGGAAACCCTTGAAACAGTTTTTAGGGTTTATGTGTTGATTAAACTCTAACAGGATTTTGTGCTAAAAGAGGTGTAATTAGTACAGAAGAATGGGCATATATTGATTGTATGGTGAGTATTTTTTTAAACCAAATGGGTGAAATAGATATGATATAAATTGGAGTGACATTAGGGATGGAAATTGGAAGTATAGATGTCCTTTGGAAAGGGGATCTTGATTTTTATGAAGATGGATATTTTTTATTCACTTGGTGGGCATTGAAATTGATGTGTATGATTTCTTTTGTTTGGTATCTTGTGTGGAGGAACAACTTCCATAGGCATTCTTTCTTGATGATGTGGTTGCTAAGAAAATCGAGTTGTTATGGTTTCACTGTATTTTTCACTTTGAATTCATGAAAGTGGATGTGTGTTTGGTTGACTTGATGGGTGTTGAAATTGATGTTTATGCTTTCTTTTGTTCAATTTCTTGTGTGGAGGATGACTCTTGTAGCATTCTTTCTCGATGGTGTGGTTGTTAAGAATATCGTGTTGATAGGGTTTTATCATTTCCTGTTTTCCACTTTGAAATCATGAAGGTGGATGTGTTTGATTTGCTTGATGGGTGTTGAAATAGATCATGCTTTCTTTTGTTCGATTTCTTGTGTGGGGGACTAACTTTGTATGTTTTTCTCGATGTTGTGTTTTCTGGGGAAATCGTGCTGATATGGTTTTGTTGCGTCAATATCACGTTTCTTCATTTTGGAATCGAATACTCCTTGGCGAATGAAGCCTCTATGATTGTATAATGTTACCCAGTTAGACATGGGTGGTCTCACATGATTTTTATCTGGAACAGTTTTCCAGATTGTATTATCAACATATTTAGCTATTTCTTACATCTATTTGCTTTTATGTGTGCAGTAAAAGTTAGTGACGTCAAGAACATGACAAGCATCAAAATTGACGAAAGCAGATTGTAGCATTACTTCTCACGATCCTGTGTTGGGTTTATGTGAATATCACACAGAAGGTATCTTGTTAGCTCTTTGGAATTGTTTTCTTAAATACTGGAAATATCAGCAGTGTCGGCTGGTGTGCATTTATTTTCTGAACTAGGATCTTAGTTGACTATTAAGCCATAGGTAAGAAAAACATGCTATCAAAATACATGCATATGCTTTGTTATTTATAGTACACAACCTACTCAAGCAATCTCGGAATTGCATTCCTAGCTTTCATTTCTTCTCAGGAGCTATTGTATCTGATATGTATGATTTTTAATGTTAGGGCTTTCGATAGATTCACATGAGTGCAGAGTATTTTTTATGTATTACATTTTTTACCTGTTTTCTCCTTACCTTAATATTGTGTGTGAATTTTAAAATGAAGTAGAGATAGGGGGCTTATGGTGGAAATTGAAATGGAGTCGGAGGATTGGAATTCTGCAACAAAAAACTCTAATAAGAAAGTAGATATGTGGGCTGTTTATTTGCTTCTTGTAGGTATAGGATTTTTTTGTTCGAGTCGCTTAAAGTTGAAGGTGTGTAGTTCACAAGATGGGTTTTCGTTAGCTAACAAAACTCCCACATGTCCTAAACGGGCCCTTATTCATTGAAAGAACAAACTTCTTAGTTAGCTGAGTACTTAGAATCTCAAGCCGTGATTGTGATTTTGGACGGAGGAACAAATTCAGTTTTCTGTCTTTCGCTCATTGGTGACACCGTTTTGTATACCTACAAGTTAACCTAAGTCCTAAGGGCTGTTTATTAATTTCAAGCTGTGGGTGGGTGGGTCTCAAGTCTCTGTTTTTGGTTGAGTCAGGGTATGATATGTTACGCTTCTCTAAAATAGTTTCAATGGCTCATTTTGACCTCCATATTATGTACAAGCTGCTGTTTCTTACAGTCGTTTTTGTGGAACTAAGGGTTTTTTGTAGATTCGTTTTAGGTAGAAAGAATTGTGAAGATGTGTTCGATAAGTGGTCAACACAATTTGGATGGCTGTGGAGAAGAACCATGTCTGAAGGCAATAAGAAAAGATGACAATATAAGCTCCAGAAAAAGAAGTTCGAAGCTGTCCACATCTGCTCCAATAGCCAAGAACATCACATCGAATTTCAGGTGCCTGTATAAGACAGAAAAACGATCCATTTTTGCTGCTCAGCCATCCAATAGCTCAAAGCCTAGTAGTGGTTGTCGCTCGGCTGTCAGTTCTGAAGCCCCTTCTGCGGCTACCGGAGAGCTTCTTGTTTCTGCTTCTGATGCTCCTGTTAAATGCAATGATATGGCTATGCCATCCTCCAATGGACATCTTAACCACAAAGAATCTGACTCTAAGCATGTCTTGACAAAAGGTCGACGCCGGATTTCGAACACCTACAGTGCTGACAATGGTTGCTCGTCCTCGAAATCAAGTTTTGAATTTGATTCTACTTCCTTGAAACCCGTTACCGTCAATGGTGGTGATAGCTTTGCTTCTGGACCATCAATTGCTATTGAAGAAAGAGGTGCATTCATCTCGATTCTCAGAAATCACGGATGCCTAGGCAAAGGTTTGAACAGGCCGCAGCACCGAGATTCTGGTGAAGGTACTCGAGCCAATGGTGACAGCTGCTATTGCTCAATGCGGTGCAAAGTCTGTGAGGGCATGGAAAGTACGTCAAAGATGCTGATATGCGATAGTTGTGAGGATGCAGTTCATGTCTCTTGTTATAATCCGAATATGATGATATTACCTAAGGGGGAATGGCTCTGCCGATCATGCTTGAAAAAGAAGCATAAAGTATTAACCGATAAGTCCAGTGGCGGTTCGGGCGGGGAATTTGGATCCTTGGAGTTCCTGCTTAGAGATACTGAGCCTTATATGTCGAATGTCCGGATTGGTGATGAGTTTCAGGCCAATGTTCCCGACTGGCGCAGCCCCATCATTGAGTACGTCTAATCCTCTTTCTTTCTCCAATTTCAAATGCTTTTATGAAATAGTTAATTGTGTTGTTTCTCCATTTTGTGCCAGTGACTGTAGAATTCAGAAGCTTAACTGCTCCCAATTTAGTTAATCTACTTGGTGATGGCGTAGTTTTCTTGATTGATTGTCTTTCGTTAACAGGTTATGTATTGAAGGTTTAAGTTCTCTTTACCAGATAATATTTGAGTACTCTTTGCCGTAGTTCATCCAAATATTAGATCAAAGTAGTTCTCAGCTGGTAGATTAATTCAAATTGTGGGAGATAGGGAATGTTAAGTCATAAGAAAGGAATTAATTGTCGAGGTCTTCAATAGTTCTCTTACAACCTTAGTCGTATTCATTCTAATAAATTTCATTAACGTTATCCTAATCTTGTCCCTGATAGTGAAGATTAGAGTTAAGGCTAGTCTTAGTCGATCCTTACCATGGTTAGGACTGATTTTTGCGACCGTAATAATTTCTCTGAAAGCATTACTTTTCTGGATCGAATGCTTTTATTGATCGTTACTATGCTTTCCCTTGCTGGTCACAGGGAATGTGATCTTTGTGGTGATCCTTCAGAAATGAATCATAATGACGGTGACCAGAAGGTACAAACTTTTCATTAGATACAATTGTCCGTATAACCATTGTGGCTTTTTCCGGGAACAGGATCCCATCAAGCCTTTGAAGCTGAGTTCGATTGGTAATTGGGTCCAGTGCCGAGCAATCATTGACGGCATCAGTGAAGACATTGATGGAACTGTATGCGGAAAATGGCGCAGGTAAAAGGTTAGGTTATAGTTGAAATGTTGCAGTTCGGGTGCAGCATTCGATTTTTTTTCTTGTCCTCTGAAGTTATATTTACTAATTTTTCAACCTGTAAGGGTGCCTCTTTTTGAGGTTCAAACCGATGATTGGGAATGCTATCGATGCATTCTTTGGGATCCAACACGTGCAGATTGTGCCGTCCCACAGGTAAATTTATTGCATAATTCATCCTTATGTTGATACAGTTAGTGCTTGAAATTCCTATATCTGTACAAGATATCCTGACTAAGTAGAGTTCCTTGCAAGTTATGCAATTAAATTTAAATACAGCATTTTCTTCTTTTGTGTTAAAACATCGGCACTGGATTATTTACTTGGGAGTTTGGTTTTGTATTTTGTGTTTTGATTTTTATACCAAACTCATAACTATTTTCTTGAATTATAGCCTTTTTCTATTTGTTAGCATGTAGAAATTCTATGTAGCAAGTTCATTTAAAGAACATTCGAAGAAACGAATTCTACTCGTGGTGACTAATCTTAAATTTTCCCTACATTAAAGCAACATATTGATATGCTAACGGTATAAGCATGACTCAGGAGGTCAAGACAGAAGAAGTCATGAGGCAACTCAAGTACATCGAGATGGTAAGTTTTATTATTGCAGACACACTCTCGACATCCGACTTTCTTTGCCATCGGTAGCAGTTAGTTGTGACAGCTCTTTTTTTATTGTGTGGATGTGCTGCTGCAGTTGAGGCCCCGGTTGACTGCCAAGAGCCGTAAAATAGCTGGATCATTCAAGGGCTGACAATTCAGATCGCTGTGGTTGTTGGCAGCCAGCCATAGCCATAGGAAGAAAACATAGAATTGCAAGGATTTGAGGTGCAGAATAGAGATTTGTTCTTTCTTTTCTTGTTATGTGATGGTGTTTTTGGTATTTTGTGTACCTGCAAAGCCATTGCCATTTTCGAGTTAGCTGTAAATGCAGCACCATTTGAAGTTTTCATTTTGATTTACTGCTATATCTGTACTTAGCCTTTTTTTTATTTAAAGAATTTAAAAATATATTAATTAAAAGGTAGGATGATGAATTTGCTATTCTGAATGTAATAATATCATAAAATTTAAAATAGTGTCGAGATGATACTTTTGTAAGGAAACAACTGTAGATGTGTGTGTGGGGATTATTATTACTATTACCTTAAATTTCTCATTTTATAGAAAATATATATGTTCTTTAGTTTAATTACAAATTGAAAATACAAATACACACTTGCCAATGATGTAGATTATGGATTATAATAGTTCAAATTTAATTAAACCATCTATTCATTTTCGATCAAATTTGGTTGAAATTGAAAGTTTCATTTAATCTTTAGTTATTCAATTTGATTCATCTAGGTTAAATTAGGTTCAATTATTTATGCTATTTTGAAAGAGTTTTGAAATCTTGAAAAAATAAATTATGATAAGAAAAATAATAAGTCATTATAACATTTAAAAAAGTATTATTGATGAATAATGTTAAAAAGTAATTTAAAAACATATATAAATGAAGTCTTATATAGGAGGATGGGAATGAATCACATACCGATCCGGTCAAATAAGCATAGTATTGATTTGATTGGATTAGTATATGTTATAAAAGTAAATTAACATTTATAATACATATCATATCATATTTACAATAAAAATATATATTATTTTATAAAACAATATACAATATGTTATATTTATAAATATATATGTTGTTTACTTTATAACGTATGCTAGCTCTTCCGCGCCAAAAATGGAGTACAAGTTTTATACAGTAAATTTTTATATATAATTGAGTTTGATCAACCCACCGCTCAAATTTAAAATTATATATATACAATTCATATGTAACAGTTATATTTAAACTAATACAAATATTAGTTGGAGTTTGTCTCCCCACCTATGAGTTATGACCAGATTTGCCTCTCATAATTTATACATTCAATAGAGCTTATCAATTGCTCAATAATGGTGGTGTCCATATAACTTTTCAATCGCAACAATAAATCAACAGCAAGTTGTAATGTAATGTAAGGGAAATCAACAGCAAGTTCTAATGAAATTGCTTTATTTATTTATCTTCACATAACTTGTGATGTAATTTATATATTGCTACCGTATCTTTTCACAAATATATATATATATATATTTAAAAGTAGAATTGCATCGAAATATTTAAAAATACATTTGAAAGTATTTGTGCACTTGAAGTAACAATCATCAATTTTTATTTAATTTTTAATTATAGGAGTAGATATATTGCTTGGAAAATTGAAAAGTGATTGTATAAGTATTAATTAACGGTTAATTATGGTTCTTGAAATAATTTTGTGCTACTTTTTTTTTTTTTTTTATTTTAAAATCAATCAATCAATGGGAAAAAAAAATTATAAATGTAATTATATGCATATGAGATGGATTATTTCTATATTCAATTTGGTTGTACAAGATAATTCGAAAAAAATTGGAACTCATATGAAGAAAATAAAAAATGTTGTTCAATTTGTTAGAACTTTGGAATCTAGATTGAACAAATTTAAAGAATGATGTGAATTAAGAAAATTATAAAGTAAGAATTTGTTGGGTTTAGATGTTCGTACCAAATGGAATTTAACATACTTGATGCTAGAGGCAGCAACTGCATTTGAGAAAATTTTATCTAAGTTTGATGTCCTTAAATCCAATGTATAGAATTGATCTTGAAACTAATGACGAAGTATTTGGTAAGAATGATTGGATGAAGACAAAAAGAACAATAAAATTTCCGAAGAATTTCTATGAGAATTTTTTTAAGATTTATGGATCTTCCTTCATATGTTAACTCTATTTTTTTTTTCTTTTTTTTTGTTTATTTTTTATGAGATATACAAAATACAAGTTTTATTGAAGACTTCTATAAAAAGTAATGATGATGAACTAAATAAAATAGAAAATAATATAAAAGAAAAATTGACAAATATTGAAAGGATCCAAATAAGATAAATAAAATAATATTTCTATTGTTTTTAATTCTTCGTACAAGTTGAAATTGGTGAAACTTGCATTGTATGTTGGGTTGGCTAACTTCCAAAAGAAGTTGAAGATGAATTATTTGTTATGAGTAGCGATTACAAACAATCAATTGTCAGAGAAAAAATTAATTTTGGTCTTAATACAATAAAAAGTTGATCAATTTTAATCATAATATAGAAAATTCATCATTTTTAGTTTCAATATAAACAATTTTAATCAATTTCAGTTCCACTATTGAAGAATTTATGAAAATTATTGATGTAAATATAACGGTGTTAACATGACAGCTGGTTTGGACGAAATACGGCCATGTTATACAATCAACACAAATCCAATCAAAGTACACGGTCGTGTTACTATAGTCATCACAAACCCAATTAAAGTACACGGCTGTCTACTGCCTTAAAGTCATGTATCTTGATGTGTTTAAACACGGTCGTGTACTACCTTAAGGTCATGTATCTTGATCTATTTAAATACGGTCGTGTATAGCTGTACATGGCCGTATACATCTCTTGATTCATCAAGAGACCCGTCTTTCAAAAAGCATGGTCGTGTATTTTTCTTTATAAATCAAAATTCATAGTTAAATAGAAGTGCTCAAAAATATCGGTATTCGAAATCGGATTGGATATGAAATGATTTTTTAAAATTTTTGGATAGTTCGGATATCCGATTTTTATTTTTTAAAAAATTATATTATTTAATATATATATTCAAAATTTTGATTTTAAAATAATATAATTAATTTTAAAATAAAAATCAGATATCCAGACTATCCAAAATTTCTGGAAAAATCATTTCCTTTCCGATTCGATTTTGGATACGGATATTTTTTTTATCATCCTTAAATTTAACTATAAATTTTGGCTTATTAAAAAAGATACATGACCATGTTTATTTTAACACAACTATGCTTTTTGAAAAACTCGTCTATGGATGAATCCAGATATATACACGATTGTGTACAGTTGTGTACAACCGTGTACAACCGTGTACCCATGTTTTAACACCATCATGATACATGGTTTTAGACATTACACGGCCATGTACTTTGACTGGTTTTGTGTTGATTGTAGTAAGACGGTCGTGTATGATTTTACACGATCGTTTTTTCGTCCAGGTCAGCTATCACGTTAACGTTGTTACATTTACGTCATCAATTTCCATTAGTTTTTTAATTGTGGGATTGAAATTGTTTACATTGAGACTAAATTGATAATTTATTTTTTTTAATATTCAAATCAAAATCCAAACCCCCAAACAAACATCCTAAAAAATCGTTGAGAAATGTGAGATCAATATAAGAAATTTTTCATCAGAAAGAGGATGATAATAATATCCTTAAGATTGTTAAGAAAAACATTTAGAATAGATGCTCAAAATGTGATACTCTAGATTAGTAAAAAAATAATAAATATAAATATAAATATCTTATATTTTCTCAAATACCTGTAATATTCTAATAGTATCCATCTCAACTGTAGCATTGAAGTAAACATTTAGCACTCAAAGATGAATATTTAATCAATTTAGGAGCTCCTTAAGTCCGAAAATGATGGAGTATCTTGTTTGTGATCAAATTTGATATCACAAAATCTACCCCGATTATTGTCGTAAAATTTCTTCAATATTTTGAAAAAATAGAAAAAATTAAGTATTTGAATATTTAAAGTTTTATGAATTGTTTAAATTTATTATTTGTAAACATTTTGTGTATATAAATATGAAAATTTTATTAATATAATGATCAACATATTAACCATTTATTTTTTTAGTTAGATTTCTTTTTTCAGCCTTTGATAATAAAATATTTGTTACTCTTCTCTATTTTTTATTTTTTTATAATAAAATATTTGTTACTCTTCTCTATTTTTTTTTTATTTTTTATTTTACCATTTCCAATAATCAACATAATATGTATAGTTTGCTACACATACATGTAGGATTAGTGAAGATATGTGTTTGACTGTTAAAATATTTAGGTTTATCAAACAAACTAAACAAAAATTTGATTAAAAAAAAAATTTGTTCTTTTGGTAGATCCTTAGGTGCTTTTATATATTTTTTGGCCAATCTATCGAGAAAATTGCAAAGAATATTCTCCATGTCTACTCAATTGCAAATATCGTATTTCAGTTCTCTAGCCGCGCATGATGTTCATACAAAAAATGTTCCACATGCGGCCATGTGCATACGAATGACAAAAATTATGAATATTGTAAACATGTGAAATATATTTTGTCAGCGAATAACTAAAGAACAAAAGTGATAATTGAATATACGTGGAGAATATTTTTTGCAATTTTCACAATAATCTATTTCTATATCTATCGCTTATGATTGCTTTAGAATTCTATGGATGAGATGCACTATACTTAATTTTTTAATTGAAAGTTCCCAATTCTTCAAATGTAGAACCCTTGTGTATATATGGAGAAGACTTTTTACTGTGGCTATTGATTATATTCATTAATGGGTTGACATAAAAGTTTGTATGAATGAATGAATCCGCTTGGTTTATTTGTGAAATTAGTAGATTTCTTTGTCCGCACATTTATGTATTTTGATTTTGTATTTTTTTTTTCATTTGAAAATTATTTCAAAAAATTTGAAAATTCAGGTTTTTTATTTTTTGGTTTGGTTCGAAGTTTTATTTTGAATTTTGAATATTTTGATTTGGATTGATATTTTTAAAAAATTTAAAATTTTGAATTGGTTTGGATTTCGTCAAATCCAAATCAAATATCCGAACACACACCTCTAAGTGCATAAAAGAATCAATAGAGTCAAGAATTTTAGAGAGAACCCGTGACTGAAATGTTTATTCACATTTCTAAATTGGCATCGTGTACAAATGTTTATAGGCTACTAGATTAAATTGATTATGATAAAATTAAAAATAAAAAATAAAAAATCACAAGGATTTAAGCACCTAAAGGTGCGATGAAATTGCGGAAGCAGATCG